CACGGGACACTTTGCTTCTCTCACCTCCATCTCAGCCTGTTTTCTGTAATCGTGGCCCCACAGCACCACCTTGCGGTCCTTCCCTCCTCCAGACACCATGGTGCCATCCTTCAGGACACAAACAGAGAAGATCCCGCCCTCGTGGGCCCCAGACACCTGGTGGCTGATGCGGTTACCACCTGTCAATCAGAAGACACAAGAAATCAGAACACAAATGGAAGACACCCTGTCTCTAATTGATCCTTTTATATTTTCATACTCCTGAATCAGTGGGGAAAACTAATGAAAACTGCACATTAAGATGAGCAAGGAAACATTTTTTGCTTGTGCTCGTGTTTAAGCAGGTATCACAAAATTTGTTCTGACTAAATTTTAGTAATGATCCATAACTGGCAAATTTGCAAAACATTTTCATACTTCAGTGAGCAACGAGTCTTTCAGTGTTTGGAAATACAATACCTGAATGTCCTTAACAAAAGGGATTATTGTGATTCATTTAGATTCTACCTTTGGCCCAGACGTAGATGTTTCCACTGGAGTCTCCTGTGATGGCGTCTCCATTCTCAGCAAACGCCACACACAACACATACTTTGGCTTCTCATGTTTCTAGAAAGACAAAGAGAGAGAAACAGAGAGAGAGAAGAGAAGAGAACGAGAAGACGCAAGAGAAGAGAGAGAGAGACGGAAGAGAGAGAGAAGAGCAGAAGAGAGGAGAGACGAGACGAGGAGACAGGAGGAACGGCGGAGAGAGAGAGATCAGATAGGATCTATGGCAAGACTGCTAGATTAGACTGCATTTGTTTTAGCTAGTTGTAGCTAATGAAATAACAAGCAAGTGTATTTTCCCCACAGCATGGGTTAATAAGGTTAACTCGTGGCAGGGGGGTAGTGTGACACATTTCTGGAGCAGCTGTCATCACGGCTGTACCTCAAACAGGCCCTGTCTCTTGGTGAGAGTGTTGCCCTCCATGGTCCAGAAGTTGAGGTGAGATTTTCCACAGGTGACAATCAGGTTGGCATCCATGGGATGAAACACAGCAGCCAGTACAGAGTCATTGGAGCACTGCAGAGACAGAAGACAAGAAGATATAATGCACATTGTTTGTCAATTACAGTTTAGAACCAGGAGATAGTATCAGTAATGATACAGCTGTATAAATGAGGTCAGGGTCAGATGGTCAAAAGGTACCTTGACGTCAGCCAGTTGCTTCTCCTTCTGCCAGTTCCAGACCGACAGGATGTGATCGTTGGCATCATCCACAGCGCAGAGATAGGTGCCGCCATTCTAAGAGAAGTTATACCTTCATTAAGTATTTATTAATTGATTAAACTTCAGTGTCAAACCCTCTGGAAACTCTACAAGATGTGAAACTGCATACCGACTTGGAGAAAGCCACACAGGTGACGGCTCTGTCGAACACTCCCATCCCGATCACATGGAGCGTGTTGAGGCTCACAGAGTCCCAAACTCGAACATGAGGAGCCAGCAGCTGAACAGAGAGGTGACAGAGAGAAACAGTGTGTCAGACAAACTAATTTTAAATGTAAAAAACAAAAAAGTGTCTATATATAGCAGCGAGTGAAACTCTGTAGGAAGATATAAGTGAGGCTTTCACAGTACCTTTCCATCTTTAGAGTTTCCAGCCACTTGTCCCGTTGCTATGGTAACCATGTCAGGATGCACACTCAGGCTAAGAAAAGAAAATATAAATTATGACTTCATTTTAATGATCTTACACAGCTCCTGGCTTTGATGGAAAATGGTGTAAAATCCTAAATGAACGTCCTCACTGCAGATACAAACTGCTGATTCAGATTCAAACACAATGAAAGTAAATTTTTAAAATGTAAACACTAAAAGCTGTCTACACTGGATCAGTTGCTGATGCTCTGACTTCCACGCCAAGGAAATATGTTATTAATATATATATGGTTTTAGAAACACATAGGACCTACATAAACAAACAAGACGATCAGCGGGAAGATTACCTGTTTCTATATAGTTATTCTTAATGCCACCGGGTCGGATTCGGTTTGATTCCCCTTTAATTAAATAAAACAAGGCAGTGGAAACACCAGGGGCCGCCAGAATCAACACAAAATGAAAGATCCTCGATCCTTTCCATAGCAAGAGGAAGAGTAGAACTCAATATGACGCCGTGGGAGAGGAGAACATGATTGTTTCCCTGTAGAGATGAGTAGCGTTCCCAGCATGCCTCTGGGGATTCAGTTTGTTTACATCCCAATGGCTCCAGTCACAGAACTCATTCAGGATGTCAACTAGTACTCATTAAGTGAACCAAAAATCACATTAATGATAAACACAACCAGCTTCATGCAGAGAAGAATTGCTCCTTTTGTCCTTTCTAGGTTTTGGACTTCATGAGGAAGCTCCTGATTAACCAACTAGGTGTATAATATTGGAGTTTCAGGTTTGACTGAATAATAAAAGTGTTGCATATAGGAAATCATTTCAGTAGATGGATACAGAAGAATTGCGTGACGCATTTAGATGTTTCAACATATATAATATGTGTCTTGTTGAAAAGTTGCATCACAAGAGATCAAGAGTCACTCCTCTGTTTAAACAAATGTTTCCATATCCTGTTGTCACTGTCTTTCTCCGCCCTGTGTATTATTCTGCATGTGTACTGCACACACAGTACCTGAGTAGGTAATCTTTCAGCACAGCCTTTGATCAAAAGAGATACACTGACATGCACACAGGAAACCAATGGCAGAATGCAGGTTACACAGGAAATCAGACAACATATAACTCTACCCTGACCTTATGTTAAACAGCACTTGGAAGACAGCTCTTATCAGCCTGCTGGTTTCTCACCATTTGACATCGTCGTTGTGGCCCAGGTAGTGTCTCTGCTGCTGCTCCTCGGTGTTGTACAGCACCACCACGGAGGCGTTGAAGTAGACGATCTCGCCTGTGGGCAGCAGGTAGAGGTTGGAGCGACAGTCACGTCCACGGTAGCCGTAGCTGGTCCACGCTTAAGTTAGGGAACAAGATGGGTGAAGCTGGACAGGACCAGCGAAAAATAACATTTTATATTCTTCTTTTAGACATTTAGTTGAGGCTCTTTACAAGGTGGCTCACAGGTACTGAAGTTTATTCCCCCTTTACAATTTCTAGGATAATAAACCCAGAGCACTACTTTTACATTTGCTGACAAATAACTTATTATTAATTCATGGCCATATATAGGCTACTAACAAACCTTTAAAGCAGAGTAGAGTTTTTGACTCAAATTCCCCTCATAAAATTTTCTCTCCCTCCGTGCCTCTATTTCAACTTTCCTGTGTTCCTGTGGGAGGCGCACCTTAGTTTGAAAACCTCAAGACAGATCATAATTAATTCATCCTGATCCATCAAAGAAACAGTTTCTCTGTCTATTTCTCTGTTTCACTCTCCCAGTCTGAAGGATACACCCACTGCAGTTTGAGCTTGCGGTCAGATAGCGCCACCTTTTGGTCGAGGCTGAAGCTCTCCCTCTGCTGGTCAGGGATGTGCATGGTGACGGGGCGACCTCGGAGGAACATCCTTACGTAGCCGTCCTCTGGTGGGACAGAGAGAGGGAAGAAAAGGAGCGATGAAAGGTTAAGTGGAAAGAAAGGAACAGGAAAAATATTCAAGCTGCAGAGTATAAGAGACAGAACGAGAAGGTGACGGTTCACGGGTATCTTTTTAGAAAATAACTGCATTAACTGAAAGTTGTTGTGAGAGTTCATCAGTCTTCATTTAAACACAGACACACACAAACCTAACTTTATTGGTTATGTTTCTTTTCTTACAAAATTGCTGCTGGCAGAAGAAAGATAACGATCTGGTCCTCATTAGTTGTGATGATCACACCACACATACCCAGCCAGAACAAGGTTCCGCAGTGCAATATTTTAGATTTTTGTAGTTCTTCAGTTCCATCTTCTGAACACTTTCCAGCAATAACGGATAATTTTATTTACTACAGATTCTTCTTGATTCTTTGTTAATTCTAATGGATGTTCAATATTTCTAATGAAAAATATTTCATGGTTCAGAATGACAGTAACACAAATCCTTTAAGAGTACTTCAAGGACTTTCACAGCAAAGTAAAAGTACACACTGTAAGATACACAAATATAAAGTGGAGTATAAAAAAACCTCTTCTTACCTGCATTGAGGGTGCATTCTTTGGATTTACTGAAACAGACAAAATAATGAAATATGAATGAAATATCATATATATAAATTGTTAAGCAACATAAGACGATTCAAGGTGTGGCTGTCCATAATGGGAAAAAGGATAGTGTAAGAAGTTGTTTTGCACCAGCAAGTGCAGTACATCACACGCAATATTTTCCATATTTTCTTACACTCTTGAGACATCATGCATTCCCTATAAGATTCTGAATTATTTATTGTATGCTCTGCAAGCCACAACCCTCACCGCTCAGTCTTACATTAACTGGACAATAGGAATGTCTGCGGGGCAGCTGCAGAGGAATGAGTCAGCAAAAACCTATAATCAAGACTTGTAAGACAGACATTATCCTCCTGAAATGACGGAGTCTGGAGGGCTGTAAATATTGTTTTCATGTAAACATTACATATTAACTGGAATGTGAAAAATCTTAAAATGCTGTGAAAATTATTATTATTTTTCCCACTGATGTAAACAATTATTAGAGGTCATTTGTTCAGGTTTTAGAAAATTAAGACCACAGTTTTGATGTATGCTAAAGGTCTATGTGGTGTCATTTTGTTTTCCTGTGAGGATATGCAAGGCTGGATTACCAACTGGCCAAAACTGCCCAAAATGCCCAGGTATACGGTCTATTCTGTTGAGAGTACTGTACAGTATGTGATGATTCATACTCATACATAATGAACAGGCTGTGTGGTCAACAGGGGCCCACAGCTCATTTTTGCCCAAGGCTCCTATAACTAGTTAAAGGGTAACTTTGGTATTTTTCAACCTTATTTTTCTATGTTTTTATGTCTAAGTGACTAATGGGGACAATGATTCTTTAAATTGGTCCAGTATTGAGCGAGAGTGGTGGAGCTGGCAGCAACTGAATCCTTGTGAGCAATTGTGCAACATCAAAGAACATCCACTGAAAGTGCTCTTTTTTCCGACTGCAGGCTCAAATTGTTTGACAACATTATGAACATTAACATCCACATTTGTGGAAGAGTAAGATCCTTTTTGTGTAACCAGAAACCACATCATTGCATTCAAAACCACCACACTCCACTGAGAAAAACATTTTACCTTTAACAATTTAAAACTTCTTTCAAACTCAACAGAAACAAAATAAAACTCACTTTGTCTTTCCATTGTTTCAACAATCACCAACTCTGGTTTGGTTGAAAACAAAAACAAAAACGCCTCATTTAGCAAGTTAGATGTGAAAGTATTTTGGCTCTACATGCTGCCTCTCTGATGCCCAACCTCCCTCTTGCTCCTCTCCTGATATTTTCATAAGAAAATAGGGTTCACCTTACGTTATAAGATACCATTTAATACTGGGGCATACACTTTTGCTTTTGGACAAGACACAAAGATAAGGACAGTTTAGTTTGTCTTTGATGAACAGAGAAAACGATTAAAGTCAAAACTCTTTCATATGACTGTGCACACAGGTTGATAAAAAGAGTCAGCAGACACAAAGTAAACAGAGAAGTCCTATTATCTATGTAACCACACATGGTGGGTGACAATGAATCACACAGTGAATGTGGTGCTCAGCCAAACAACGTGACAGAGGAGGATCAAAGCAGAGATGAGAGAGAGAAGTGAGATGGAGAAGCACTCCTGTTACCAAATGTCACAAAGAAAAGCTGAATGTATACAAAACATATGGATTTATATACTCCTTTAAATTCAAAATGACAACCAGTCACTCATCCACTTTTGCCTGAATCCATAATTAGACCTGTCAATCAAAACCTGGAGCTGCCTCATCAGTTTGCAGCGGGCGAAGCTGTTCCTGAATCAGCTGTCCGTCAACCAATCAGGACTGCCCACTGAGCATTTCAGTGCATGCTGACCGCTCAACCTAAACTGTCAGGATGCTGTCAACCAATCACATTATCAGGATGTTGAAGCGCTGCCTCAGCTGACAGGTGCATATCACCATGGCAACAGCAGTAAAAGTGAGGCTTGATAAGATAAGGGGAAACTGCGGGCTTGTCTCTTCCTGCTCAGCAACAGGAGAGTCGGGAACGGTGTGTTTGACTTTCATGTGTGTCTGAAAAACGCAAATGATGAACCATACAGGTTCTATAGATGGTGAAAACACATAAACTGAGGAGAGATTCAACTTAAGATTGCTAAACAAATTATTGCAATGAAAAAAACTTTATTTAAAATATTCAAATAAATCGTCTTTACAAAATGTTTAATGAGGAAGCAAATGCATTCTACATGTTTGTTAGACCTCAAATTACACACTGAACACTGAGTGTAAACAACTTTAGTTTGTTAACAAGAAAACTCAACAGGACACCTTCAATCACCAGGATGAACCATGTGTCTACTTCTCTAGATGAGTTTGTTTAACAGGGAGTTACCTGACTAAACCTCACAGCACTGAGACCTCTCAGTGTCTCACTGAACTTGTCAGGTCATGCCAAGTGAAATGTATTCATAAAGTTTTTTTTATTATGTAGGTTTGCCACAATGTGTTTAACAAATCAATAAGGCACACAGGTGAAAAGAGCAATTATTAATCATAAAAGATCAGAGCTGGTATGTGTGTGTTTGAAATAACACAAAGCATCTGAAGAAGATTAAAAGACGGACTGCAGAGTGAACGGGCGACTGATCTAAGATCCTAACTGGTGTCTGTTGTGTCTCTGGCCAGCTGGAGGCGACCAGGCAGGGTGTCGGCTCTTTAAAATAACCACATAAAGGCCTGTTTGTCTCTTGAACTTTCTGTGTGTGTGTGTGTATGCGTGGTGTGCCAGCAAGATGAGGCGTGGCCTGGTTTTAGCCAATAAGAGAACAAGATTGATTCAGAGCCAGTAATTAGTGCAGGGCATGCTGGGTAACTGGCAGCCAGACAGGGCAAATAACTGTGGATCTAAAAGCCATGCGGCTGCAGTCCCAGTCACCAGTTTTCCAGGGAGAGGGAATGCAAACGGAGCACTGAGTGTATTGTTGACATTTTCTGCCTGCCTGCACTCTCAATACACAATCAGTTCTTGTAACAACAAGAGGGGCCTAGTCGGCATCAAAGACCCTACAGGCTTCCCCCATCAGAGTTTTGAGAAAGTGCCATCAAGATTCATTAATTCTTTGTAGACAGATTGCTTAAAAATCTCTGGAATCTCAAGCTCACCCAGACGTTTCTGACCTCTTGCTGCCAGGCAAGAAAACTTATCTCAGTGTGGTCTGGAAAGAACAGAAATTTGCTTGACCCACCCTAATGGGCACAGAGATAGCTTGGCAGATGGTTAGAACACCCGTCAACCGACAGACAGATACCGTAATTAATATGCTCTGCTTCTATAAAAACAACAACCTGAACCCTTCCTGTAGCTCGGCTGAGCTTGGGATTTGTTTCAGGTTTTTAGATTGGAAAAACATAGCGTGTGTTCTACAAAGCTGATCAGTTTTACCTGAATTATTCAGAAAGCAAACTTCTGAATAAATCCCACCAGCCAAACCTAGAGTGGGCGCCATAATACATTTATCTTACATTACATATATTAAAACTTATTACATAAGGAGGAGGAGAGGAGAGAGCTTCATTCACCTGAGAGAAACTTTAGCAATGGGTGTTGTAGTAAATCTGTTTTTATTATAGTGATGCAGGCAGAGAGAAAATGGATGTTGTTTTCTGATTGATGGGTCAAAGCCCCCCTGTGGGAGTGGTGGGAGCGGTGTGTCCATTTCCTAGTCCATTATGACTGAAGTACTGCTGTGGTTCAGTTAATGGACACAATCATATGTGATCATCTTCACGTCTTCACTCAACTCAAAATACATTAAGACACTGAACTTTGCTCCATTTTTTCCATTTTTTACTTCGTCAGAATTTTACATGGTTTAAATCTGAGGTTTACTCGTGCTACAACTATAAACATAAAAGTAGTTATTTAAATAGAAAATTTGAAGAAATCACATCCAATTTATTTTTATCAAAACTTTCTGTCCCATGAAACAGAGATAAAAAGGAAACAGATGGATAGAGTGAACATGATAGAAATCTTTTCCTTATTCCTTGTATTTGCATTAATCCAGACCTCAACTTTGTACAATGCCCTACAGTTTTAAGGGTTATTACCCTTGATTTAATCTGAAATTCACTTAATATCATATTAAAAGAAAGGCAATCATAGTGATGATATACTGGTTTACTGCGGCAAAACCTACAGTTAGTGCTGCAAAATGCTTCTCTGCAATCAGCAACACGGTCAATATGTTTGTCGCATGTTAAGCAGGATGTCCAATCAATGTTGTCAGTGTTTTTGCATGCAGAGCAGAATCAGTAATCGTAACATGAGTCCCACAGCTCTGCACCGGCCTGGTCACAATGCGGTAGGCCAGGGTTTAATAAAGAAACTGTAATATCTGTATCAGGAGCTGTGTCCTGTCTGCTGCCAGAATCAATTAGATTTAACAGAACAATCAGTTAAGTGACAGGGCTGCTGAGCACAGTGTGACCAGTCCCTGTCACTTCACATTCACTCATCCCATATTTATGTGTGTGTGTGTGTGTGTGTGTGTGTGTTTCATAACTGGACAGAAATGTGACATTTGTTTGTTTCCACCATCATTAGTAGCCCAAAGACAAAAGAGCGACTAATTATACTTAAAGAGGTGCATAAATTCATTCAACATGTGTGACATAATGACAGAGCTCTTAGCTAAAAGATCCAGTTCAGAAGAAGGCGCCACATTTACAAAATACTTTATGCCTGTTTCCATAAAAGTCAGATTTCAGTTTTCTGAATACTGTGAATGTAATAATTTTTTAATGAAAAGCAAGTTTCACTCCACTTTTTCCTTCTTTGTTTGAATTACACAATTAAACTATGACTAATTCTTTTTAAAATGACATAATTTAGCATTTTCAGTTCACATCAGACCTATGTTTTGCCATTTGATCCATGGTCCACTAACACAACTGGCTCTTGTTTCTGTATTCATGTTACTATGCTGCAGCCCCTCCCCACAGCCCTGCAGACAGGGAAACCTACTGCATCAAACAGTTTGCGTGACAACAGAGTCTGTCACGCAAACCACAAACAACCCAACTTCCTCAGCCTGTCGTGCAGCCAGACCCAAAAAAACGGATTTTTTTTTAGACTGACAATAACCAAAAACTTAAGGTGGTGAAGCCTGAATGAATTTTCAAACTAAACCGCAGTGTTTCATTTAGCAACCTATAATCCAAGTCAAATATTACTCAAACAACAAATGAGGGACTGGGCGTGACACAAAAAAATTACTTTTTCGTTTTTTTCAGAAATTCAGCCAGCTGACTTTAAAAGCGGCACACACTACTACTAACTGACTACTAACCACCCAAAGACTAAAGCTATGCACTGTCCTTTACAAAATGCATACATTTACTCATACCTTTTGGTGCTATGAATCCATAAGACTTTCTCCTCCAAAAAGCTTTATCAGTAAACTCTGTCTGCTCCCAGTGCCCTACTCTTTCTGTCAATCATTGATTGTAAATTGTAAAGCAACCGTTTACCTGGAAGATCTCTTCATGGCTGCGAGGTTTCCGTTAGATTCAACAGTCAACAGTGGTGAGCAGTCCTGTCCTGTCCAACAACTACAGCAACACACCGACTTCCTCCTTCACTCAGCAAACTTTTAGCTCAGCCCGAGGAGACCCCATCATCCAATCAGAACGCATTTCCTGACTGAGCAGACCCACCTCCTCTACTCGGTAACCACACCCCCCCTTTACCAAGAACTACTGGAAATTTGATCCATCAGCAGAAAGACAGGAGCTAGAGGGAAAGGAAAGGAAAGGAAAGGAAAGGAAAGGAGAGGGGATGAGAGGCAAGGGACAGAATAGTAAAAGAAGATAAAGAAAAGAGGAAATAAAAGGAAACAGTAGAAAAGGAGGGAAGAGGAAGGTAAAGCAAGGAAAAGAAAGGGTGAATGTTGATTGAGAAAGAACAGCAGAGATTATAAAAAGAGAGAAGAAGGAGAGGAAGGACGTTTAACTGTTCATGAGAGAAGAACACAAGAGGAGAAACAGAAATAAACAAAACCTTAGTGGATTAAAAAAAGAGAAAAAAGGGGTTTAGAAGTACCTAATGAGAGACAGACAGACAGAGGAAAAGAAAAACAAGAAAGAAAAGTGTCTATGACTATTGTTGTTTACTGATGACGTGTTGTGTTCACTTGGCTGTGACACGTGGATACTTCACTGTCCATCAAGCTCACAGCTGTGACATCGCAAAGACCAACAGCCTGTTAACGGCGACGTAATTCATGGTGACATCCGAGATTCACTGCAGGCGGACAGAATTGCTGACTGTGGAAGTGTAACGACCACAGATGATGAGGGGACACATCAGAGGACACTTATGATGATGTGCAGAATTCATCTCTCGCTCCTCGAAAAAACAGCCTGAATAATTGAAGCCTCTCACAACATCCTGAGTGTGCTTTAAACTTCAAAAACTCTAAACCATCAGTTCTCAGAGCCCAGCAGCTCCCACACTGAAGGCTGTAAATGCAAAACAGTTTCAGTACAATCAGATACAGATGCTGATTAGATTGGGGAGCAGAGGCAGTTGCTGCTCTTGTTTTTTCCCAACATTTCTCGGTTTGTTTTTCATTCCATTTTAAGAGAGTGCAAAGTCAGTGGGATTTCTTGGCCTTAACACTCAATTAAGTAATGAAAGAGAAACAATATAAAAGTTCTTTCTGGTCTTTGCTGTTAAACAAAGATCTAATAATGTTTTTGGTCTAGTTAAAAATAATTTGATACTCA